AAGCACACAGATACAGATTTTTTTCTGGAAAGAAAATTAAGTAGGGTAGGTGCTTGACTGGCTGACAGATGCGAGTACTGGCTCTATGCAAAGGTCAGCAAGCAAACGAGCAGACAATCCAACTAGGGGTCTGTGGTTCTGTGAAACTCAAAGAAAAATACTACGTAAAATCAGAAAAACAGACCTTAGAGATAATACGAGGAGAGATTACTACTTCCACACAAATTAGATGATCGTAAAGATGTCGGACAACTGATACTTAGCAGCAGAATAAAACTGATTCACACAATGGGAACACTAAAAAGCCATTCGTCAACCTAATTTCAGACAGTGATGGAAATATTATCACTTGTATTTAATGGCAGAGGGTCTAACGGTGTCCAAACAGCTTTCAGCACACATGATTATCCATTAATGTTTTCCAAGTTGTTGTAATGAGTAAACCAAGAAATTTTTTTATCAGAAATAGAATATTTTTGTGTTACCAAACCTAGCACCTATGTGAACTCAATACCAGCATTTTAGGAGATAATAGAGAAATTATTATGTCAAGATTTGAGGTTATGGACATAACAACATCAGGTCTTGAGGAAGGTCCTAAAGGGACATCTTAAGGTGGCGTTTTCTCTAAACTTTCAGTCAAATTAAATGAAATTTATTCGAAGAAAAACTGACTGATTTTGTTTACAGAGATGAATTTATAGTCACTAAGAGAATCTAACACTACGAAGCAGGACCCCCACGCAGGTGCACAGGGCCTGAGCTGTGGCGCAGTCACGGGCAAAGAGGTCCTTCTGCCCCGTTTAAGATTAATTTTGACAACAATGTAGCATCTGAGATTTTAAAAGAGCTCTTAACTGTCAGTATAAAACAGACAAGCACGCAACAGAAAAACGTGCCACACCTTCTCTCCGTTTTTTGACTTTTACTTCACATCCTCCCAAACTTCCTGTAACTTACCACGACTTTGCCCTTCTCAAAGGCCGGACGAGAGTCAGAGTGGTACTCTCCACACCAGAGAGAACGCCCTTCTGCTTGCCGAAAAAAGAAATGTGACGCAGATAGGGGGCCAACCGCAAAAACACTTAGTGACAATTGTTTACTGTAATAACCTCAACCAGGCAGACACCAGAACTCAGCCTGCTGCTTCCAACTGTGTGTCTGCCTTGAGCTCTGTGTTTCCTCTGTACGCCACCGCATCACGATAGCAGCAGCAGCAGAAGCAGCAGCGGGGCAGACGGGAAGGCGAGACTGCAGAGAGGGATGCGAGATGCGGTCCACCAGCAGAGCGAGAGAGAAGGGGATGGCCAAACAAGCAGAGTCCCTGTGCGCAGGGGGTAACGATGAGAGGTCGCGGGATCAAGTAGCGAACCTGTTGAGGTGGAGTATTGACGCTTCCGGTTGCAGAGTACGACGCCAAAAGCAAGACGCGGTACGGCGCGGCACTGCGCAGCCGCAGCAGGGCGCGGTGCGGCGGAGGGAGGAAGCTGTCAGCTGGCGCGACTTTTGAAATGGCTTTGCAGAGGAGAGGAGCAGTTCTTCACTTTCTTGCCAGTTAGCTGTCAGGCATAAAGCATTGAATATGGCCCTGCCATGGACAGGGCTGTAAACGGAGCGTTCGTTGCGCACGATCGAGAGGAGACCAATCAGAAATCGGATCTCGAACCGGTTCATTCATTGTTCAAGTACTCATTGAATACAATACAGAATAGACCCTTTCAACATTAGCAAAGTGAAGAACAACAGGCAGGAATCAGTTGCTTTCATTAACTCAACAAGTGTTTTGGGTACGTTTGGGTGATAAAAAGCAACTGTTTCCGGTCTGTTGCTCTTCACCCTATTCTTCACGTTGCTAATGTTGAAAGGGTCTACACATTCATGAGAAAGCCCATGAGCTCTGTAATTTTTCGACCATGGCACACTGATAACCAGTCATAAAAACAGTATATTCAGTGAACAATTTGTCAGTTTCGCAAACTTACACCACCAAAAATAGATT